CATAATTGCAATGGTGCCAAGTATCTTTGGGCAATTTTTCTTTAAGGGACTTGATCATTTTTAGGCAACTTTCGAAAGCGTCATCGAGGGACTATGATCATTTGAATCGTTTGTTTTGCCCAAAGAGACCTAACATGCAATATGGCCCAATTTTGAAAGGCAACAAGTGGAGGTAACCCTAGGGGTGTTAGTGTGCAAGTGTGTTTTATTGCATACAAGAGTTTTTTCTTTGAATTAGGTTTTTCTATTTCATTGATTTTATCTTGCCATACACGTCCTAATTACTAGCAATAAGAAGCGGAAATATAAAATCCTACGCTATTACAACAATTAGGGGATGGGGATACACATTTGTACATGGGGGGTTCAACGAGAAAAATAGACAAAAAAGAAAATAGCAAAAAACAAGATATAGAGAGAGAGAGAGAGGGAGCCAGCGCACTGCTGAGAGGTCATCAGAAGTTCTGACTCAGATCCGCTGCCAGATGATCAACCTCTTGGTTAAACTGTATGAGTCAGAACTTCTGACTCTGGCACCTGTAAAACAGAACCCTGTTAGTGGGGAAATCAGAAGTTCTGACTCCCCTGCGCTGCAAGACAGAAGTTTGTTAGTGGAGAAACTAGAAGTTCTGATTCTGCTGGAAAGGCAATAACTCTCAGAGGTTCTGATATCATTGACAGCAAGACAGGCTTCAGATGTGCTAACGTCAAAGTCAGCACTTGGCTTTTCCCTGTACTAATCAGAACATCTGCAATTTTGTTGTTATTCCACAAAACAGGAAACATATTTGGAACAGATCCAGCAAATGTCAAAATGTTTCAGAGGTCAGAACCAACAAGGTCACAGGCAAGTCCTACACTAGCTCAGAACGTTCTGAGGTATGAAAACCCTCAGAATATAAACAGCAACAACATGATATTTACATTATGTTTATTTGAGTATGCACAGCTGATGATGCTTAGCAGCGTGATGAAGGTCAGCAGATGCTTACCTGACTGTTGGAAAAGTTTGTGGGTGAAAGCTAGCTTTTGGCTCTGGTGGTGTTCTGGACAGATTCTCTTTTTTTGAAGAAAAAAAAAGGCAGGTGAAGGTGTATGCGTATGTAGGGTCAGAAGTTTGGAAAGAGGTTTTTTAGTTCACACAGAAAATTGGGTATTGGATAAAGTTTGAAGATGAGAAATTCAAAGTTATGAAACCAACTGGAGATTTTGGCAGAGTTTCAGAACACTAATTTGCTAAGGGTTTCTGTTTCTCTCTTATCAATTTTTCTGTTTTCTTGAACGCCCCTTTGCAGTGGACAAAGACTCTCTATTTATAGGCAAAGTTCTTGTGGATGCCTTGAACATTAAAGCGCCAACAGAGTTTGAATTTGTTCTTTGACATAAATTCCTAGGAAGTTGTGATAACAGATAGCCTTCAGCCTATGCTGCAGCAGCAGGCGTGGATTGGAGAGAAGTGACCTCTTAAGTGGGCGGTGGCGTGTAGACCCATGCCAGAGTCTGCAGAAAGGCGTTTTCCAAGCCACACGTGAATGTTCAGGAGTGGTTGGAAGCATTAATGAGCATTAAATGGTGATAAGACCTATCAACCTCAATATTCTGGTAATGGAAACCAACGTTGAATCAGCAGTTCTGTTTCAAAAGAACAGCGTAAACCATGCTCTGGCCTTGGCTTCCTGTTGTCTTAGTAAGTTCCGGAGATTCTCCTGATTTTCTGATACGTTCCTTGGATTTGCTTCTGGACCTCCTGGGCTTAGAGATTCTGTATCAGTGTAACACCCACTCTTCTGACCTTTTCATCTTCTGATTTCAGCATGTTCTGAAAGAGCCTTCAGACTTCCCTGCTTCTTTTGCATTCCTTTAGCAAATTCTGACTGAGCTTGTGTAACTGCTGAAAGAGTCATGTTCTGTCTGAGGCTTACATACTGAACCACGTTTACAACTTCTGATTGAGCTGATGTAGCTGCTGAAAAGCCAACTTCTGACTACGCTGAGCCAAGCTTGCAACTTCTGAACGTTTTTATCTGGAATTGGTCCAGAAGTTCTGAAACACTGATTTTTTTCTTAAACACTCTTTTTTTTTTAAGAAACATTTCAAGTGTTTAGAATTTAATTAATTTCTCAAGATAAAAGTGTTGTCTTTGGAGCTTGTGTGATCATCTTGCTCTTGTAAGTGGTTTGATTGGATAAAAATGACAGTTCTGGACTTGGATTTATTTCAGAGGGACCTTGAAAATCCAAGATGATTTCCTGAAGAAGGAGAGGGCAAATTTTGGGGTACAACAATGTGGAGGCAGTTTTTGATTTTTTTTATTATAAAAAAAATATAAACCAACAAAATATAAGGCCACTTAGTAACACACATGCACCAACCAACCACTTTTCTCTCATTCTTTCTCCTCTCTTCTTAGATTCAAGTATTCGTAGGGACCAATTTTGATTTCTCATCTTAGTCATCTGCTATGAAATCCATATTCAAACTCTTACAAGTTCAATTTGGGGTGTTAATGGATTCGGGTAAATCCGAATCAAATCGGAATTCGAACTAAATTATAGTGTTTGAGTTGAATATTTTTTAATTCGAATAAAAACAAAATAAAATCAATAAAATTCAATGATAATTGATTCGAGTATCGGATTTTCAATTTTCTCTCTGTAATTCTAACCTAAATCAATCATAATTAATTATCATAAAAATTATTATCAATCATTCAAATTCAAGAAGAAAAAAAAGTGAAAAATCATATGTGGACAAGTTATTCTATTTAATTTGTTATTAGAAAAATTATTAGTGTATTGCGGTAACTGAACGGAGAGTTATGAAACACATTCATTATCATACTAAATCAAGTGATTAATTATAGATTCAAAAGTATTGATGTTATATATTTGTCATGTTAGATATTTTAGAATCTATTTGGGAAAAATTAATAGTCTAATATTTACGATTAAACACTATTAATACTATATTTATTTATATTATTATGAAAAATTAATTTTTGTAGATAAGTTATTTTTTTTCAAATATTTTTGCATTTATATCTATTTGATCAATCCAATTCAAACCAACCCGTTGTTTCTCGATTTGATTTGATTTGTATTTTATCGCAAAAATTTGTAAATTTAATCCAAATCAATCCATTAATTTTAATCAGTTTGAGTATCGTATTTTCTCAAAACCGAACCAAATCGACCCGCAAACACCTTTAAGTTCAACTTAACTACCTCGAAACCACAAGTGATATGGGTAAGGTTTTTGGCTAAGTCAATTATATTATTATTCATTTTGACTAAAGAAATAGGAAATGTTGAAAAATAAGTTTGAATTCAGGCTGAGAGATTGACGAAGCAAAGTGAATAAGTTTACCGTTATATTAACTAGCTTATATTATAAATAACTAATATTTATATATTTATTTTAGATTTATGATTTGTAAAAAAAATAATTTTAAGGTCTCTATTTTTGGAGGCCATGGCTTGGTTGTTCGGGTCCAAGGTCACGCGACCCTAAGTAAAGAAAGCAAAAATTTTGAATGATGAATTGCAACCGTTTTGATTAAGGTTCTCATGAGAAAATAAGCTATTGTGTTTGCTAAGATAATGAATATGAACGAATTCGAATGTCAAGAATTGCAAAAAGTTTCAAAAACTTTCAATTCCTCCTACTTATAAGTAAAGGCAGATGAATGGTCTAGATCAATTAAAGAAAGAGGTTAAGAGACTAGATTTTTTTGGGAAGACATGTCAACTCAAGTGCACTATAAGTCTCTTCATACTCTAACTTGTCACGTCATCACACATATAAGAAGAAGACTATAGAGTGTTTCAATGATAAAACCATATTTAATGCGCTTGTTTCTCATTACTCTTTTAATTAACTCCAAACATTTCAGTTCTAACTCACACCAGACAATACTCCAATGGCTGAATAAATCACTAAAGACTTTCTTGACTCTCTCAGTGGCTGATAAAGCCTTGGGACAACTGTTTTAGACCGATGAAAGACCCAAATAGATGAGGTCCATCTCCCCTTAAGTCCGCTCCCCTTGACTCAAGATATAAAAGCCAATTCACATGGAAAACAAAATACATTCTCTAATCTCTAATATTTATTATACACACCTTGAATCTTGAAGTGACTTAGTATTAACCATACAGATCCAATATACGTTGCCGTAACAGAGATCAACATCATTGATTCAAGACATTCAGTTCATCAACTGCATCTATTTATGACTCTTAAATAGAACAATAAAATAACTAATAATTTATCCATCTTATATAAATTTAATTCCATTTCCTACTATTTGTTAAAGTAGTAAAACAATATACACTAAAATATTAATATATTAATATAGTACCATAATCCATCGATTGTACCATAGACATTTTACCGTTTATATCTATGTATCAAATTCAAAAAGAGTGTAAACGTAAAGAGATTTATTAGAAGACAAATGTTAACATGTGTCAATTTTCTCTTGAAATAAATCATTTGTAAAAATATTCTTTTGAAATGCATGCAATCAATTTTTTGAAACTTTAAATATAATTTTATTCCATTCAAATTTTTTAATTAAAGTATCCTTAATATTATCATTAGGACACAAGTTAAAAAGACCCTTATTAGATAAATTTATTAAAGATAGAACATTGAAAGAGTTTATATAGAGTAACACTTTTTATCTTATAAATCGACTTTGTAAGAATGTATTAAATTAAATTCTAATAATTTTAAAAAAATTCTCATAAAAAATATTTTAAATCTAAATATGTTTACTTATTTGATAACAAAATAATAATTAGAGATTTTGTGGGGGCAGTTTTAGATTTTTTATTACTCCATACAGTTATTATATGAAACTTGAAGTTATAAAGAAGAAAAAAGAGAAGAAAATCTAAAGCAACAAAATACTATAATAGAGGCCACGAGTAACACTCCTACACCAACCACTTTTCTCTTCTCCTGATAGATCGGAAGAGATAGAAAGAGAGAGTCAATGGCAGGCCAATCCCGAAAATGGATGATACTCATAGCAACAATCTGGATTCAAGCATTCACTGGAACCAATTTCGATTTCTCCTCCTACTCATCCACCATGAAATCCGTACTCAAAATCTCGCAAGTTCAACTTAACTACCTCGCAACTGCTAGTGATTTGGGTAAGGTTTTTGGCTGGTCTTCGGGTCTCGCGCTCATGTATCTTCCGCTCTCGATTGTCATGTTCATTGCTGCTGCTATGGGGTTGCTTGGTTATGGTCTCCAGTTTCTTCTCGTCAATCACTTCATCACTTTGCCTTACTTTCTGGTTCGTTCCTTTTCATTATCCTTCTATTTCTCTTTTTTTTTTTTGTATTAATTAATTGTTGATTAGTTAAGAAATACTAATATGGTTTTTGAAATTCTTAATTAATTCAGTTTTTGTCTTTTGGACTAGTTGTAGTGGGGGTATTGCTTTCTTATTTTAGCTCTTTCTATATGGGTCATAATTTAAGATTTTTTCCTATATAAACTAAATATTTATTACTCCCACATTGAGTCACTTGCAAAATATATTCTTCTAAAATAAGTGAATTTTTTAATTTTTTAATATAATATTAATTTTTTTCCTCTTAATATTAATTTTTAATATACTATTTAATTTTATTTAGTATGAGTTAAATTTTTTTTAAATAAGTTTGTAAATTCTAGTTCAAGTGATTGAATGTGATATTGTTATATTATATTGGACGTCATCACTAAGATTCAACCTTGGGACTAATAATTGTATGAGTTTTGAAATTGAATTTTCCGTTGACTAAATTTTATCACATTCACAACCGTTCAGTCTTGATCGTATAACTTAGAAGAAAACATATTTGATTTATTTAAAATTATCAATTTTAAATCAGAACCATGTGCTCCCGTGGTTATCACTATTTCGTCACCATACCAAAAAATGGAAATAATAATAGTAATGTGTTAATTGTTTTTCAAATTTTAAATATCAAGAAATATACTAGGAATAATGCACTTATTGTTGGTTGGACTTGGATGTGTGGCCTCAAACCATTGACTAATAGAAATGATTTTTCAAAAAATGAACAGTTTTTTTGTCTTTTTTTTTTCTTTGTTGCTGACAAGATTCCAAAGGAGTATCTTGAAAAAATTGTATTTTTTAATCTGTTTTGAATTTGAACGGATGAAGTATTTTCTGAACAATAAGAGTAACATGATTAATTAATTTATTTTTTACTTAAGTGTAACGTTACTAGGAAGTAATAGCTTGTTTCCTTTAAATTCTTATATGTCATTTTCATTTCAACGGCATTTTGTACGTTTGGTGGTCCCAGCAAGATGATGTTTCCAGAACTCAGCTGGTGTTTACATATTATTACACGTACAATAAATAATGATAGTGATAGATTCTCTAAAAAAATAATGATAATGATAGATTCACATGTTATTCTTATACATCATTTTCTTTTTCGTAGAAGCTTCTGAAACATAAGGAAAATTACAGTGAAGTTGACTAGCTTTTTTACTTTTCGTGTTTCAGGTTTTTCTTCTGTGTCTGTTAAGTGGCTGCAGCATTTGTTGGTTCAACACAGTATGTTTTGTTCTCTGCATTAAAAATTTCCCAGTTAACAGACCCTTGGCATTATCACTCACTGTGAGTTTTAATGGTGTAAGTGCAGCACTTTATACACTAGCAGCAAATTCGATAAACCCTTTATCAGATCAGCTTTATCTTCTTCTAAACGCACTTGTTCCTCTTCTCACTTCGTTCGCAGCATTACTTCCGATTCTTCGCCAGCCGCCTTTATCAGACACTCATTCTCCGCATGCTGCTCGTCAGAACTCAGTTATATTTCTAACATTGAACATTTTAGCGGTTTTTACAGGAATTTATCTCCTTATCTTTGCGTCATCGGCTTCTGATGAAGCTATGTCGAGGGTTTACTTTGGTGGAGCTCTTGTACTTTTAATATTGCCGCTGTGTATTCCTGGTGTTATATATGCTAGAGATTGGTTTCGTCACGCTGTTCATTCGAGGGTTGAAAGCTCTAGTTTCATTCTTGTTCATGTTAATGATCTTGAGCTTCATAAAGAACTCCTTACGCGTCAGAACAGCGCTCGAAGTGTCAGCAATGGAGATGGTCAACACCTGCTTGGTGAAAATGGATATGGAATTCAGGGGGGGAAAAGTAGTCATGTGAATTGTGACAAGTTTTTTGGGCAGGATCAATTGGAAATGCTGGGAGAAGAACACTCAGCTGCAGTTCTTGTTAAAAGGTTGGATTTTTGGCTTTATTATGTTGCATACTTTTGTGGAGGTACTATTGGTCTTGTTTACAGCAACAATATTGGACAGATAGCTCAATCTTTAGGCCATAGTTCAAGAACGTCGACCCTTGTCACGCTGTATTCATCGTTCTCCTTCTTTGGCCGCTTGCTTTCAGCTACGCCAGACTATATTCGGAAGTAAGTATTCTTTGGACTTATCTTCTAATATACTGTACATAAATGATGAGACTAACAGTAAGATTTTCTGCAATACAGCAAGTTCTACTGTGCAAGAACTGGATGGCTAACCATTGCACTTTTACCAACACCGATTGCATTTATCTTGCTGGCTTCATCAGATAGTACCATGGCACTTGATATAGGCACTGCGCTAATTGGTTTGAGCTCAGGTTTCATATTTGCAGCTGCAGTGGCAGTTACATCTGAGCTATTTGGACCCGACAGTTTGAGTGTCAATCACAACATCCTCATAACAAATATTCCAATCGGATCCCTTCTCTATGGTTTTATGGCTGCAACAGTTTATGAAGCTAATGCTATCTCGGCACCTGGAAATAAAAACATGATAATGTCTGATTCACTCGTGTGCATGGGAAGACAGTGCTATTTCTTGACATTTATATGGTGGGCATGCATATCTGTCATAGGATTACTTTCTAGTTTGCTGCTATTCTTAAGAACCAAACACGCTTATGATTGTTTCGAGAGACACCGTATTTCAGCACAACCGACTTTGTCTTAACTTTTGACACTACAAGGGTATGAATATCATTTACATAATTATTGATAACAGAAAAGCTTGAGATGTATAGGACATGATTTTGGAGGCAGAAAGAGTAAGGATTTTGGTTCTATTCTCCACAACGCAAAGAAGCAATTAAAAAATTGAAGCAAATATGTATGGAAGCTTTAGATGGATGAGGTTTGAGGAAATATGTGTCGGAAAAGTTTTGATCCTCATGAATTTTTTGAGTCTGTGACTTTGGGACAAAGTGGGCAGATAAATACTCTACTTTGTAAGTTTTATATGTTTTCTGAAGTTACAGACTATGTATTGATTAACAATTTAACTGTTATAGATTACTCCATTTGTTCCTTTTTAGTTATCGCTTTGGTAGAAAAAAATTCTTGATTTTCTTAGTTTGTGTAGATATCCTTAAAATGACAACTTAAAAAGAGTGGAGGGAGTAACAAACTAACAATATGTATATGTGGCAGAATCATCACAACCCCAACCTCTTTATTATTTATGAGAAAAGTATATCAAAATGACAAACTTTTAAAAAAGTTACAGAAAGAAAAAGAACAATATCTATAGCCTAAATTAAACTCAAGGATAGGTACAAAACGTATCCCTCTTTATGCATAAGAATAGTCTCTCATATGCTAGTGCCATCTTTGTTGCTGTAAACATAGAATTTGCATATTCGCGGCTAGCATTGCCTCTCCTCGCTAGCCTCTCTTTACCATCCTTTACCACTTCTTCAAGTGCTTCCAAAAGTGAGTCCACATTTGGAGAAAACATATAACCAAATTCATCATCAACAACAATACTACCTTTGATACTTGGAAACCTTGATGCCAAAAGTGGCTTTCCAATCATCATAGCCTCCATAAGTGTAAGATCAAGCCCTTGTGGTCTTAATGTAGGATTAACAAAAATATCAATAGCATTATAGAATGCTCTTAGCATAGAAGGATTCATAGATCCAAGAGTAAAAACTTGGTTCCCTATATCTTTGTACCTATTCTCCCATGGTCCAGAACCAGCTACAATCAAATACACATTGGTGTGCTTTGTTATAAGCCTTGAAAATGCTTCATGAAGTAGTGGATGACCTTTATCCTTCACTAATCTTCCAGCTACTCCAAATACTAAACTAGCATTACTTGGTATCCCAATTTTGGTTCTAAACTCTTTTCCTAATTCAGCATCTTCTCTAAAATCTTCTTCATCAACACCATTGAGAATCACATGAACTCTTCTACTTGGAATTTGGTACACATCTCTTAACATCTCACCACAACTATCACTAATAGCAACATGATGAGAATATTTGTTGAAGAATCTTATCTCATTGAGGACCTTAGGAACAACCCCTTGTAACCCCTTTTCAAAATCTTGGGATCTAGGCTCGTCCGGCAAACGAGCCAAGTCTTGAAAGATGCTCGACTGCAAGCTTTCCAATGCTATGCCATGCCATGATACAACAAGATTTGGAACTTCCTTTGCAAGCCAATGAGGAAGTGCCACACTTTCTGAATGAACAACATCAAAAGGTTGATCTCTTTGGTTTTCTTCAAGAAAAAGTTCCCATGCTTTGTTGTAACGCCACTTACCCGGTTCGCCTTCATGAAAATGAATGTAAGGCAAAGAAGGTGCACCTTTTGATGAGATTGAAGCTGTTGTTGTTGCTTCATCTTCTTCTGAGGGTGAAGTAAAGACATGAACTTGATGTCCGCGGCAAGCTAAAGCGGTGTGAAGGGTGTGAGCGTGGCGTTCCATGCCACCGGGAACGGTTCCAATAGGCCATTTTCTAGAAAAGACTGCAATTTTAAGAACTATTGGTGAAGGGTTATTGCGTTGTGAAAATGAAAGGCTGTTCCATGCAAACTCAGCTGAAAGAAGATCACCTGAAAAAGTTTTGGTGAGGTTGGTGCATTTGGAGTTTGTGGTGGTGTTGTTGAGAAGGAGAAAAGTTGGTATAGTGAAGAGGGAAATGGAGAAAAGGGTGATGCAGAAATTGCAATGAGAATTAGGTGAACTATAATTCTTGGATTTGTTGTTGAAAGCCATTAATTCTTTAAAGTGATTCTGAAATTTTGGTCATATATATGTATAATTTTGGCATGCACTTAACAAAGTGTGTTGGGTTGGATTTTTTCTGTAAGTGCATTTTCACACCCCTTTGAGAGAAAAAAGTGGATCCATGTGATAAAGGTTTCGTAAGTTTGAGATTCATTATTTAATATCCTGAATTTCTGGTTAAGTTTTTTGATCATTTCAGTTTTCTTTAAGGACTATCTTTTTGTTGTTTGATGTACAAGCATATATGAAAACCAAAACATAGACTTATCATTATTTTTTAAGAAAATTGTTGTATCAGAAAGTAAAAGGTTAAGCTAACAGTGTCACTCACTCAATCAACTCCATTAAGAAACCTATTTTTTTAATAAAAGTCAATGAGGATTATTCAGCAAGTTTAGGTGATTGCAATTTGCTTACATAATTTGAAATCTTTACAATTCAATCTCCTCACCATTTTTGGAATGCATAGTTATAGTCAAACTATGTGACGTTTGTAGGGTTTGTTAAGTCCTTAAGCAGTTAGAGAAATTAAGGAAAAATCTTATAAGGCAAAAAAGTTGCACAGATTTCAGATATGTCAAAAGGGAGATTTCATTATATGATATACAGCTTACACGGCATGCATGTATATATATATATATATATATATATATATATATATATATATATATATATATATATATATATATATATATATATATATATATATATATATATATATATATATATATATATATATATATATATATATATATATATATATATATTTTATAATTTATACATAGGGTGGCTTAAGAAGCCATACCTCATGTCATACTTTACACTTAATTAAAAAGCACTCTTTCTAATATAATTCATAGTTATCAAGTTTTTTTGCTCCTAACTGGAGCCAACTGCTTCTGGTTTGCACCATTTGCTCTAGTTTTCACATCAAAGGCTCCATTTTTAATAGATTTTGATGATATTGGCCAGTGTCCACTAGTAACAGCCATATCCTTGAACTGTTGAAGGCTTTCAAGTGTTTCAACAATCATTGCCATTCTTGGTCTGTCTTTAGGATGCAGACTTATGCATTGTAATGCCAAATGTGCTATCTCTTTTGCACCTTTCACAGAATATTGGCCTGCAAGCCTTGGATCCATAATGTACCTCAATCTTCTACTGCTGCTCAAGTATGGCTTTGTCCAATCTACGATGTTTTGTTCTGTCTTTGGTCTTGTTTTGTCTGTTGCTCTTCTTCCTGTTAGCAGTTCTAGCAGGACTACTCCGAAGCTATAGACATCGCTTTTTGTAGTCAAGTGTCCTGTAATGGTAAACATTCATATGTTGTATTAGAGACAAACCTATTAGAGTTCTTAATTTCAGGCTGGTTGGATGAAAATATCTCATGATTTTGGCCTGGTCTTGTTGACTCGCTAGGACAGGTTATATACATTTTTTTAGAAAAATAAAAAGTTTACTTGTTAATAGGTCTGGCTAGGCCACCAAATCCATGGCCTAATTATACTATGGACTGACTGGCCCGACATTTTTTTCAAATTAGTCTGCTTGGGGGTAAGGCCGAACGGGCCGGACAACTCAATTGAACCATACCTGTTGAGATGTATTCTGGGGCTGCATATCCATAGGTGCCCATAACTCTGGTTGTAACATGTGACTTTGATCCTTCTGGCCCCATTTTCGCAAGTCCAAAATCCGACAATTTTGCTGTGAAGTCCTATTTCAAACCAGTAACAGACGAATAAAAACTCTTTAAAATAATCACTTTAAGAAAAAAAACTGTAGTAATAAGCAGACACTAAATTACTACTGACTGAATCAAGTAAGACATTGGAAGTCTTGAAATCTCTGTAAATGACTGGTTTTTCAGCTCCATGCAAGAAAGAAAGGCCTTTAGCAGCACCAATTGCGATTTTTATTCTTGTTGCCCATGGTAGTGATGTTAGTCCTACAATAATAACATGTAGCGGTTTGATGATATATGTGACATGCCTTATTAATACATATATTATCAAAATAAACATTAATGATTATGAAACATACTTCTGAACATGTGATTCTCCAAGCTTCCTCTTGGCATGAATTCATAGACAAGTAGTCTTTCTTCATCCTCACAACAATATCCTATCAATTTGACCAAATTGGGATGTCTTAGCTGTCCTAGAAAAATCACTTCTGCCTGCAAAGTATACAGCCTAAAATTACTTCTAATTTTTTACCATCTATTCTCTATGAACATCTGCGTAATGACTTATGAAAATAATTTGTAGCTTATATACAATTTGATTTTATTATAAAAGTGGTTTATACTCTATGCTGCAAAATAAGTTGTTTAATCAAACAGTGACTTGATATATACTTACAAGCCATTCGCGGTGTCCTTGTAAACCTTCAATATCCAAAAGCTTAACCGCAACAGGTTGAGCTTTCAAACCTTGTCTAAAATTATCATCTAAATAGCCCTTATGAACCGTTCCAAACCCACCTTCACCAAGCAAAAAATTACTCGAAAAATTCTGAGTAATAGCACGAAGTTCACTCAGCTGAAAATCAAACAAATCAGAACCAAAAGACAGTGCAAGATCTTCATTGATACGCGTCGAAGACGAACGGCTAAGATCAGAAAAAGAAAGTCTCCTAAAAGACGGTAATGGAGCAATGTTCTTAGAATAATCTGACCGTGAAGGTTTGCATTTACTGAAGTTACTAAAAATTGTTTGGTTTTCTGTTGTGCAACAGTTTGATGTGAATGGTCTCCATGGTTTTGATGGTTCCTTCATTGCAAAAAGAAAATGAAGAGAATTGTGTAGAATGGTTGTGCTGTGGTGTCAAATAAATATACCAAAAGATTATATAATATACTTTGAATCCTTTTCTTTTGGTTAGTGAAAGAGACAAAAGAATTTGGCAGAGAAGAAAGATATATTCTTTCTTTATTTTGTTTCTTCAACTACTCTCTAACCACTCTAGTTACTGCCTTTGAGGGAAATTATGATGTCATGTTTTATTTTGTTATTTGTTATGTTATGTTATCTTGTTTTTGTTTAATTTGATACCTAGTGTTATACTCACTCCGGTTGTAATTATAAGCCAAAATAATTACTTTCGTACCGATTAAGAAAGTTAGTTATATGTAATTAATTTTTTTGATTTTATGGCCAATCAAAATAAAATTTACTATAATATTCTTAGTTATATTTGATGAATCGACTACTAATATTAAATGTTTTTGATTTAAATTAAGAGTATAATAGTAATACAAACATTAATTAGTCTAAAAGTTAATGACTTTTGTTTATAATAGTAACCAAAATTTAAAGTCATTTTTTCTTATAGTAGTGACCGGAAGAAGTAGTGTTATAGTGTATTCATGCAAAAATATACCAAAATCTTTTTGACTTTTTGGAGTTTTGACTACTCCACTTCTATTCTAGGTGGTCTCAAGTTTGATGCTTATTGAGTGTGAACTATTTAATTGATCATTTTAAAATAAGCTTTGTCACCTTAGAGATCTGAAATCCAAAAATGTATTGATTAGAGTTGGATATAAAGAACCTGCGGACCAGACTGTTTAACCTGTGGTCCGCATAAATTTTGGATTGCGTTTTTTAGTTCACTTAAATTTTCTCTCATGTCGATTTGATCTTTTAAATTGTGGGTTATGTGCGGGTTTAATTCGAAGATTCATGAGTTTGTTTTTAACCCATCTAAGATATTTTCTTTAAGATTAATTATAGTTTTGTCTGATAAATTTTATTGGTAAAAAAAATGTAATTACTGTTGGAACAAAAGATTTTCAAGAAAGATAGTTTTAAAGAGAAGAAGAAAAGAGAGAGAGAATTGAGAGTTTGTTATATGAATTATTTCTCACTATTAATGTGTGTAATATTATTACAAACCCAGTAGCCCTTTATATAGGCAAACAATGCCCAGACTCAATTACACAAAATGCTAAAGCCCAAAACATGATTTTGACAGTCTGCTATATCTGTTGTATTCGACTCAGTTGAATACAACTTACAACCAATACAAAAGTTATTCGACATACACCGCACAAGCATTTCGACAGAGCACGAATTATACATCTAACACACCCCCTAATTCATGTTCTCGAAACTTCTCATTTCGATACCTTTCTTTAACTCGTCGAATATGACTTTCTTCTGAGGTTTGGTAAATATGTCGGCTATTTGCACTTTTGTATTGCAATGATTTATCTCAAGCTTCCCTTTGTTGACTTGATCCTTCAGAAAATGATACATTCTTTCTATGTGCTTACTTCGACCATGACACACTAGGTGATTCGTCAGGTTTATAGCTGACTTGTTGTCGACAAACAACTCCATCTTCTTAGGTTCCATTATCCTGAGCTCTTCAAGTAGCATTTTGATCCATGTTGCTTGGCATGCATCATATGATGCAACTACATAATCTGCTTTGCATGATGACAAAGCCACAATGCTTTGCTTTCTCGAACTCCAAGAGATTAGAGCACCTTCAATCATGAAAATATAGCCTGCATTACTTTTCTTTTCGTCTTGATCTCCACTGAAATCAGAGTCAGTGTACCCATGAACTTCGACATTTGTGTTGTTCTTTGACTTCTTTCGTAACAACACACCGTGATCAATAGTTCCTTTTATGTATCTCAACACTCTATTTACTGTGATGAGATGACATTCTTGAGGTTTCTCCATAAATCTACTCAACAATCCTACACTTTGGCAGATAGCTGTTCTAGTATTGCAAAGATATCTTAAGGATCCAATAATTTGTTTGTAAATGGTCGAACTTACAAACTCATCATCTGTTTTCTTTTTCAACTTTGCTCTAGTCTCTAATAGAGTGACAATTGCCTTACAGTTTTTCATATTAAACTTCTTCAAAATATCTTGAGCATACTTTATTTGATTCAAGAATACTCCTTCTTCAGTGTCTTTGAATTCCATCCCAAGGAAATATGAGAGATTTCCTAAGTCTGAGATTTCGAATTCATGCATTAATTTCGACTTTACCTTCATTATCTCAGCTTCGTTTGCTCCTGTAATGAGTAAGTCATCAACATAGAGACATAAAATGATTTGAATGACACGGTCGACATCTTTTATATACACTTCATGTTCAGAGACACACTTTCTGAAACCTGCATCGATTAAGAAGTTATCTATCCTCTTATTCCAAGCCTAGGAGCTTGCTTCAAACCATAGAGATCCTTCCTTAATCTATAGTTTCGACTCCTGCCCTTTGACGTTGAATCCTGGTGGTTGAGTAACGTGGACTTCTTCTTTCAATGGACCATTCAAGAGTGTTAACTTTACATCTAATTGATGCATTTTCCATCCTCTATATACTATTGTCGAAACAATAATTCTGATTGTTTCTAACCTCGCAACAGGCGCATATACTTCGTCGAAGTCAGTGCCAGGTTTTTATAGAAAACCTCTGGCCACCAGTCTTGCTTTATACTTCGCAATCTCACCATTTGGCCTTCGTTTTACCTTGTAAATTCACTTTACATCGATTGGTTTCGTGTTGGTTCTTTCGACAAGTTCCCAGGTCTTGTTCTTCTCAATAGCTCTAAGTTCTTCTTTCATGGCTTCACACAAATTCGAATTGCTTAAGGCTTCGCCAAATCAATTGGTTCTGCTTCAGCCATCATCATGGCTTCTTCAATTAAGTCACCATCTACATCAACTTCTTGATCTGGAAACCTTTCATATCCAGTTATCCTGGTCGACTCAATTCTTGTTCTTGTCGAACTTCTTTCATTCTGCACAAGAGGTTCTTCATTTCGACTAGTTGAAGTATCACCTTGTTCATTTCGACTTGTCGAAGTTTCATTATGTTCATCTTCGTCGAACACAGTTGTGACTGTGTCTGATTCTTGTCGAACTGAACTTTGACTCCAGTCCCACCCTTTGCTTTCGTCTACAAGAACATCTCGACTGATCACTAGTTTATCTTTGTTTGGAGAATACAACTTGTATGCACCAGTCGAATGATAACCTATGAGCACCATGACTTCACTTCGATCATTCAGCTTTTTTCCCAATTGTTCAGATACATGCCTGAAACACATTGATTCAAAAACTCTAAGATGACTCACATTTGGCTTCGACCCTGTCCAAGCCTCATGTGATGTCTTTTCGACCATCTTCTTTGTGGGGCATCTATTTAGAATATATACTGTTGTCGAACCTGCTTCTGCCCAAAATCTCTTAGTCATATGTTTAGCTTTCAACATACTTCTAAGGCGTATAGGGTGCAATAACCTCATGATCTATAACTTCCTCATTGCAAAATCTAACAAATTCAGCAGAAATATATTCACCACCACCATCAGTTCTTAACTTCTTCAATTTGCAGCCACTTTGTTTCTCAGCATACAACTTGAACTTCTTGAACTGTATGAATACCTCACTCTTCCTTTCAATAAGGTAAATGCACATATGTCTGGTGAATTCATCAATGAAAGTAAGGAAATACCTGTTACCTCCATTCGAATTTACTTCTAAGGGTCCACACATATTAGAATGAACCATCTCCAATTTTTACTTTGATTTTACGGGCAAGTCATGTTTGAACGCCTTTCTTGCCTGTTTTTCCTTGCAACATTCCTCGCATACTTTCTTTGGTTCCTTTACATACGACAACCCAAACACCATCCTTTTCTGATTGAGCATGGATAAATTGTTGAAGTTTAGATGTCCATACATGTAATGCCAAATACAATTCTTGTCTTCTTCTGTAGTTGAAGCAAGACATTTGTGATCTGATGTGTTGAGTTCAACTTTGAACATTTTGTTCTCAGCCAATGGTGCTTTCATTATTAGCCTCCCATCAACCCTATATACCTTCATCTGATTTTTCTCCAGCTTCATATTGAAGCCTTTCGCAAGTAATTGACCTACACTTATCAAGTTACTTGTCATAGAAGATACATATAGTAATTCGGTGATAGTAGCTTTTAGACCATCCTTCCTAGTAATCAAAATATCTCCTTTACCACCTGATTTCATGTGCCTGCCATCTGTAAAATTGATCACCTTTTCGACTGACTCATCTAACTTGGTAAGCTGGTTTTTATTGCCAGTCATGTGGTTGCTGCATCCTGAATCCAGATACCACATGTTGTTTTTCCTAGTGATCGACTGGGTGTTCACCATCAATAACACATCATATGAATCATTATCTTCAGCTCGTGCATATTGAGCTTCATCACTATCTTTCACCCTCGCAGCTTTCTTTCTTCGACAGTCTCTAGCATAGTGACCAAAACCTTGACAATTATAACATTGCACCTCTTTTGTGTCAACTTTCTTCCTAGAATACTTGTTGCCCCCACTTTTCTTGATCGAATCAGTATTCTTGCTTGACTTCTCATCACTAGCAATATTCTTTCGTTGCTTCGACTTCTCTTTTCCAGCTTTCTTGTTGAATCTTGATTGCGATGCTTGTTCAATCACCTTTTCTCTTTCTGAGTTTCTCTGCTTCAACCTCATTCCATGAGCCTCTAATGAAGCTTGAAGTTCTTCCAACTTCATCTCAGATAGATTCTTGGCCTCTTCAATTGTCACAATAATGTAGTCGAAATCTGCAATTAAAGATCTCAACACCTTTTCTATCTTTTGCAGATCCGTAATCGATTCACCACATACCTTCATTTGGTTTGTCAGTGTCACAACTCTTGAGAAATATGCAGAGATTGATTCATCTTCTTTCATATGAAGCATCTCGTATTGCTTATTTAGTGTCTTCAATTTGACCTTCTTCAATTTCT